CCCTAAAAAGCCAAGCATTTTTCTTTAATCTTTGAAGATGGTGCTGTGTCTTTCCAACATGGTATCTGAGCAGGGATAACTTGCTTTGATCCTTGTTTGAATAATGGCCACATCACCAAATTCTTCTTCCTCGGGCCTTGGCCAAAACCAGATCTCAGCTCCCACTCCCATTCAACTCCACAATCAACTTATATCAACCAAACTTACTGGTGAAAACCATCTCATATGGAGGCAGCAGGTGCTCACAACAGTTAGAGGGCATGGCCTTGAAGGATTCTTAAATGGATCTAGCCTGCCACCCACCAGATTCATACCTGGAGCAGAAGAAGGGCTTCTTCAAGTGAATCCTGAATACACAAGCTAGGAAAGACATGATCAACTGTTGGCATCATGGCTGCTTTCTTCTCTTTCAGAGTCGATCTTGATTTCAGTGTTAGGTATGCACACCTCCTCTCAGATCTGGGAGAGTTCAGAGTCAAGTTTTTCAACTCAGTCCAAAGCTAGGACGATGCATTACAGAATAATGCTTCAAAACCTCAAGAAATAAAACATGAGTATCAGAAAGTATGTCAACAAAGTGAAGATTTGTTGTGACACTTTGGCAGCTGGAGGACATGTAGTTATAGAGTAGGACCAGATAATGCATGCCCTTAGTGGGTTGAGCTCAGAGTATGATGTTGTGGTTGTTAACATAAATACTAGGGCAGAACAGATCACAATGATAGATGTCATGTCCTTGCTTCTTACTTATGAAAGCAAGATTCAATCTGCTGCCCTTGCCACAAAGAATATCATACCGCCTTCAGCAAGTCTCTCAGTCCAAACCAACAAGCCACCTTAGAGCTCATATCCCTCAAGAGTTAGAGGGAATTATCAAGGTTTTGGAGGCAGAGGCAGAGCTGGAAGAGGAAGAGGTGGCAGATATAACAAAGTCCAATGCCAAATATGTGGCTATACCAATCACACTGCAGACAAGTGTTATAACCGGTTTAATGATAAATTTGTGCCACAAACTTATCAATGGAGGAACTATAATGATGGGAAAAGCATTGGTCAATCTTCAGTCATGTTTGCATCTAAGGACAACAGCAATGAAGAGATTGGTTCTCTGATTCTGGGGTAACACATCATGTGACCAATGACTTTGCAAACCTCAGTGTTTCATCTGACTATGGTAGTCCAAACAAGCTGCAGATTGGAAATGGAGCTGGTCTGGATACTTCACATATTGGTAAGGCAATGTTTGTTGGTTCTGAAAATTCTCACTTACCCCAACACACTTTCAAACTTAAAAACCTTTTACATGTGCCTCATATAGCTAAGAATCTCATTAGTGTTGCTCAAATTTGCCAAAGATAATAATGTGTTCTTTGAATTCTTTCGCACTTCTTGTGTTGTGAAGGATCAAGTTTCAGGTCTACCTCTTCTCAAAGGGAAACTTAGAGATAGTCTATATGCTTTTAAGCTCAATAGGATACCCGTCAAGAATGAAGAAAGAAAGAGATCAGAAGATAGTGTTAAGGGAGTGTTTGGTGGTGAAGTTTATTTTTCAATTTATGTTAAGTCTTTAGAAACTTGGCATAGGAGATTGGGTCATCCATCATTTGATGTAACTCAAAGAGCTCTTAGGTCTTATAATCTACATTATGCCAGTAATAAAGTCACTTTTTGTTCATATTGCATTCAAGCTAAATCACGTAAGTTGCCTTTCCATGCTTCTGTTCATTCTTCATCTTCACCCCTTGAACTTGTGCATACTGATCTCTGCTATACTTCCTTAAACATAAATCAGATACACTCCAAGATTTCATTCATTTTCTCAACCTTGTTGCAAACCAATTAAATCTTAAAGTCAAGACAATCCAAAGAGATGGTGGAACTGAGTTAAAACCTTTATCTAAACTCTTTTCTGAAAAGGGAATATTGCACAGTCTCTTGCTCTTATACCCCTCAACAAAATGGGCTAGTTGAAAGAAAGCACAAACATGTGATAGAGGTAGCCTTGAGTCTCTTTTCTCAGTATAAAGTTCCTGAAATATAGGAATAGATGTTCTCCACAACCATTTATTTGATAAATAGGGTCCCAAACAAAACAATTGATTTTGCCTCTCCATATTCAAAATTTTATGGCCATAACCCCAGCTACAAAAACTTAAGAGCTTTTGGCTGTGAGTGCTATCTTCATCTTAGAGACTATGTGACAGATAAATTGGAATTGAGAACTCAGTCTAGGACTTTCTTGGGTTATATTTCCAATGCAGGGTAACAAGGTCTTATTATCCAGTGGCAAAATCATCATTTCTAGAGATGTAGTTTTCAATGAACACATTTTTACTTTTAATAAGAAAATTAAAATTGAGCAGCCTGATGATGATCACAACATGCATTCTTTTCCTACTTTTCCATCTTTTCATCCATCAAACATATCATCTCCTAGCACACATGAACCTGCCACACCAAATTCACCAACTACAAATTCACCTACACCAAAATCACCTACAAATACACCAAATTTGTCCCAGACAACTCCACAGTATAACTATACATCACCACATCTACTCCCACAACAACAAATTCACCCTCACCCTCTCCTCACTCCACTCCCACAATAGCAAATTCACCCTCACCCTCCCCTCACCCATAAATTTCCTCTCCTAACCTCAACAATCAATTACAACAACTTCCTACTAATCAACATCCAATGCAAATTAGAGCCAAAGGGGAATTTTTAAACCTAAAATATTTCTCACCAATGTTGTGACGTCTGAGCCAAAGTCAACTTCAGATGCTCTATCCATTCCTTGCTGGAAAGATGCTATGAATTCTGAGTATAATGCTTTGATAAGGAATATAACCTGGGAATTGAGACCACTGCCACCAGGTAAAGTTCCAATTGGATGTAGATGGCTTTTTAAAACAAAGCTCAATGTAGATTTTTCAGTTTCTAGATACAAAGCTAGACTTGTGGCCAAAGGCTATACACAAATTGCTGGTGTTAATTTCCATGATGTTTTTAGCCCATTGGTCAAACCAGTAACAATCAGGTTGGTCCTCATTGTTGCACTTTCTAAAGGATGGATCATTAATCAACTAGACGTTGATTATGCTTTTTTGCATGGTCCTCTTGATCCAAATACTGACATCTTTATGGAGCAACAACCTGGTTTTGAAGTCTCATCTACTCCTGGATATGCTTGCAAGCTCAACAAGGCAATTTATGGCCTCAAACAAGCCTCTAAAACTTGGTTTGACAAATTACACACGGTTGTTTTTTCTTTGAGTTTTACATTTTTCAAGGCTGATGCATCTTTGTTTATTAGGCATCCTTCTACTTGTCTTATCTACATCTTTGTTTATGTTGATGATATGATCATCACTGGTGATTCTCTCGCTGAAATCAAGACAGAGATTAACTCTTTGTCTAAGGAGTTTCCTCTCAAGGATTGAGGACAGTTACATCATTTTCTTGGCATTGATGTTATTTATACTTCACTAGTTATGCTTTTATCCCAGGAACATTATGCTCACCAACTGCTTACAAAGGCCAAGATGATTGATTCCAAAGGAATTTCCAGTCCTATGTTGTCTTCACCTGCTCTTTCAAAACATGAAAGGACCCTTTTTTTCTGATGGCAAGTTTTACAGGGCACTCATAGGAAGTCTTCAATACTCACTAGACCAGATATCACATTTACAGTAAACAAACTCAGTCAGTTTATGCAATCTCCTTTAGACTTACACTGGAAAGCAATGAAAAGGCTACTGAGATACATCAATGGAAACATCTCCTTTGGTCTTCAGTTTTCTAAATCCTCACATTTGCATATTTCAACTTTTTTTACTCTGACTGGGCCTCAGATCCTGATGACAGAAAATCTACATCCGACCATTGTATTTTTGTTGGTCAAAACTTGGTTTCTTGGAGTTCCAAGTAACACCACACAGTTTCTAGAACTAGCACAAAGGCCGAGTATATGTGCTTGGGCCATGTTGTTACAGAAGTGCTCTAGATTAAAACATTGCTGCATGAGCTTTGCATTGCCCATGTCCCTTCTCCAAATATCTGGGTTGATAGTCTGGGTGCGGTTTTTATGTCCTGTAATCCGGTTATTCAAGGGAGAACAAAACACATTGAAGTGGATTTGCATTTCATCCGTGAGAAGGTCTTTAACAAATCGATTTCAGTTCTTCATGTGCCGACCTTAGATAAAAAAAGGTGATATTCTTACAAAGCCTTTGAGTGACCAATTCTTCCTTTGCATGAGAAACAAGTTAAATGTTCCCTCTCCGTGCTAACTCAAATTGAGGGCGGATGTTAGCATGGTCTCCTTTTCACCTAATCCACATCAGCATGAAGACCATGAAGACCATCGTGAAGACTAATAAGTCTATTCTCCACGTCAGCATCTCATGCAGCTTCATGCATGGTCGATATTACCCCTGCAGGAACATGGATTTTTTATTGCTTTTCTTCGTTTCCTCTTATGGTAGTACACTTTTTTCCTTTATCTTTGTACCTTTAAACCTAATTTGTGATATCTCAGTTAGGTCACCATTATGTTAGTTTATATTGATGTAAACTCATTGTTGGATGATATGAAAAGTTATCTTCAGTTTACCTCTCTTAGCTAAGAACCCTAAATAGCCAAGCATTTTCCTTTAATCTTTAAAGATGGTGCTATTTCTTTTCAAAAATATACACACATTAAAAAATGAGTGTGTATGAATAGTTTGGTAAAAAAATCACAATATTCAAGATTACATTTTTGAAAGGTTGGTTGGATGGGCAAACGGGTTTCAAGGTTGTAATTGTAGGCACACACATTGAAGTGAATGTGAACCAATAATGTATTTGAGCAGTTAAGACTAATGCATGGCCCATAGTACTCTTCTATATAATAGGCAAGACTGTTAACCCATGCATGTTATCCCAAATTCAATATTTACATACATTATTAAATAAAATTAGTAACTAAGAATCAAACGATCGAAAAGAAAAAATGGGTCACACGGCCGCAACCAATGGGTATAATTTATCGATTTTAGCGGCCACGATGATCCTCCTCCTCTGCACGGGCACGGCCGATAGTAAAGCCGTGAGCCCATTCTGCCGAACGGCAACAACCCACAAAAAAGATCAAAGCGTATGCACCGAATTGGTGAAAAGGGCTAAAACATGGGATGAGGCCATGACCAATGGGATCAATGCGGTGATAGAGATAGCCAAGGCCCAAAAAGGGAAGGCGGTGGACACTGTTGAAGCAAAGCTGCCAAAAGGGTTGAGGCCCGCCACAAAGGAGTCGATAACAAAAGGTTGCAAGGACGCGTTTGATATGTATGTGTCGTACCTGGAAGACTGCATTGGGTTCGTGAAGAATGATCCCGACTCTTCTCTCGAGACCATACTTTCGGGCAACACCTTCTATAACTGCAAAGACGGGTTCGATGAGTTTCAGATACAAAATCCTGACGTATATCACTTTTACGACATGACCACCTACTTCGCTGACATTCTTCTCTCCATTTATCAAACCAAGCCTGCAGGCCACCAGTAAATATATATA